TAATGCTTAATACTACTATAAGATATATGAAAGCTGATTCCAGCAATTGCACTATTTCATAATATAAGCAATTTCAGTTTCAAATTCTGGCAGAAATACAGTGTGTGTAACATTTCATCATCTTATTTCAAATGAACTATAACATGATTATGTTTGTATTTTCACAGATAAAGCTGAACAAATCAAGGGATGCTAGGTTTTAAATCATGCATATGTGGGGTTTATTAAACTATTTTTAAAAGAAACAATGTAAACAAAATATTTTTCCACTATGAAGTTTCTTTGGGCTCATTACAGCACTTCTGCATATAATTTATACCAATCTCAGTGGGTTTTGTGGGTCATTCACACAGAAATAAAAGACAAGTAGTCTTATTATAGGAAAATGAGATAGAACTACAAAACCACAAAAATTAGCCTTATTCACAAAACAATCAAAATTACTTTAATTTTTTTAATTGATTATATCAAGGATTCTCATCTGTGAGTCCTCACAGTACCTCCTTGTAACAGCAAATAACAAAGGGGGAGAGGGGGGTGCGTGCAAGAATTACAATCTTAATGAGACTGAATAAGTAAAAAGGGCTGATGAATTCCCAATACTGACAATGTCTCCCATTAAAAGTATTTCCCTCCTCTGGAACTTCGTATTACTTCCACTGAAGTCATGCTATTCTCCTGAATGGTAGGCTACTTCACAGTATGTTCTGCTCATAAAGCTTTCTTTCCAAGAGATGACAATAAAAACCCTTAAATATAAATAGTACCTATTAATACTATAAATAATGCCTTGAAAGATTAATACAGAAAAGAAGGGAGTTTTACTCCTGCTCCTCCCTCTACCAAGACAGAGATGGTTTTATCTACAGACCTTGGTCACAATGGTGGTCAGTAACGATTCTAAAAAATGAAACTGTAGAAAGATTGATTTCTTGCAGAATTGATCTAATGTCCTTCTTTTCACAGACATCACTACTCTGCCATAGTAGTGGCATAATTATGTAGCAAGACCTGATGTTACATATAAGAGTATAAATTATCTGGATCTCGTGTTGCCCTTTTGGTTACTTCAATTTACACTTGCTGCACAAAGGGTAGTGAGAGAGAAGCGCTCCTGAGATGACCGGACCATCCTTCTTCTCGTACCACAGAAAATGCAGACATACGACACTCATGAATCATATGAAAGGAGCAGAAAAAGTGAACGCATGCCATTCACCAACAAACCTGCCCGACATAGCCAGTGCCATCTCTTCCAGAGACTGGCGGATGCCTGCCCAAGGCATTCATTCAACTGCGGTTTCGCACACCCTTCTGCGCACCGAGCACGTCTCTTCAGGATAAGAATGGATGCTTTGGATGCGATGTATTCATGTAAAAACAATGGTGCAAATAGGGCTGATGTTGGGTTCGGGGTTTTTTGCCTATTTCTGTGTATCTATCTTTCTTTCTTAATCCATTTTTTGTTTTCTTCACACTTAATAAGCCAAGGGTTTCAAAAAGACCAATCAAACTTCAGTTTTGTTCTAAAAACTCGATTCTTCAACTAGTCACTCCTATTGCAACAGCTTTCATTTTAGCCTGATTTTCAAAGGAAACTATGGTTATGCGGCTGTGCTGTCCGTACGGAAGCATGCATATTTATATTACAAAACTCTCCTAGAACTTTTGAATTCAACTCATTTCAATTAAAATGAGAGGTTAACAGCCTGAAAGAAACCAACTTCCTACAACTTTGATGAACACAGGTAGCAGAGAAAAATGCTATTGATACTTCAATGATTTATGCAGAGAGCGCAATCAGTATCAGGCATCGGGGAACCCACCTGGGAAAGCACCATCCTGAATGTCTCTTCTGCAAGAAAGGCTCCTGTGTGCAATTGTTTAGACACAAGAAAGTCCACACGAAACAAGGCTTTACTAACCATGCTGTTGGAAGAACTATTTATAATACAATATCCACAAGAAAGCTAGCTTCCTATTTGTTAAACCATTTTTTCTTTGTGGATTTCTTTTTCCTTGCAATTGAATTGTCTGATTCTGGTAGCTATATACACTTCACTAACTTTTTAGACACTGATATGCATTCTCCAATGATTCTCAGGAGCTTTGACTTCATTTCTCTGCGTTTTGTTCTTCTGTGTCTGCTTCAGTTCCCTTGGAAGGCGGAACATGCCCCACAATATGCATTTCGATGACTTTTGTGCCCCAGGGGCTCACAGGCTTGCCCATCTCTTTTTACAATAAATGCAAAAAAAACATCAGTTAACAGACAGCTGCAACATCCTTCCAAAAGAACAACCTTTAAAAATATTGTTTACTTGTCTGAACAGAAGATATCCTCCTACCCTTCAAAATAAGTGACTGATTGATGGGTAGGCAAAAGCATTTGCTTTGACAGAATCAGACTGACATCAGTTTTCATGTTCTCTGCTGTCTGAACAGTATCAAGCTGATCAGATTTGTAATTCTTCTGAAGCACATCAAACCAAGCAAAAAACTGCAGTCCTTTCCTACACTGGACTTGTTGATTTGTCCAATGTAAGTTAGTAAGTAACAAATTCAACTATGATAAAAATCCATTGTATAAACTGCTTTTTACAACTCCTGAAATACAGAAATCATCTAGCTCCTTACAACAGCTTAATTTGGCAAGAAGATGAGCACAGATCAGGAGACAGCTGCAACTTACCCAATTCTCATTTGTTCTTTAACTTTTTTAAATTTTTAAATTGGCTATTGCAGAATGCTAGCTGTGACCAAACAGTTAACCAGGAAGGCATCAGGCAATAATATTCAAGAAAATACATGAGTTTATATCCAAGTGCAACTGGCAACCACTGACCCTACAAATGGCTTTTCTTATGCAGCTAGTTACAGTAGCTTTTATAGTGGAGAGGAAAAAGTTGGAGAGTCTGCATCTAATCTTGCAAGAAAGATGACCACAAGAACTGTATGCCTCAATTATTTTTGCAGTCACATGCAATTTGAGATCACAAATCAACAGAAAGAATATACAACTGATTTATACGCATGTTGAATAAGGCCCCAGCTAGACTTCAGTGGCCAAGATTGTGACATTGTGCTGAAGTACCCTACTATTCTCTTTCCAGAAAAGTGAAGCATTTGAAAGTGAAGATCTGGCTGAGGACATAAAATCCATCTGGCAAAACCTTACAACATTCAGACTTGCAGAGACATACTGATCACGTTTTCTTATGCTGTACACACATAGACCTTTTCTTGTTTTTGATACTTGTCCGATCTATTGCATAGTATAAGGAGAGAGCCTTTGCATCTTTTCAAGACTTTGTACTCCACTGACACACATTTTTTCAACATAGATATTTTAACTGAGAATAGCTCAATTCTGAAAACTATAATTTAAAATACATGTTATTTTAATATTTTAAAGATACCTGTCTTTTATTCTTCTTTATAAAAGTAAAAATTCATCTCTGCATACACTTAAAATGGTAGAAAATTAGATTTCCTTTCTCTCAGGAAGCGATTTCAAAGTAACATAGAACAGATTTGTAAAAGCTGTTTAACGAAGTCTGTTTTCTACTGTGCCTAAAGTACTATATGTGCTACACATGAAAGACTCATTAAAAAGAGCTTTTGCTACTGTCTCATTCAATAAGCCTCAGTGCATAAAATAACAGGCAACATATGTATTTGAGACACTCCATATTAGGAAAATTACCAAACTCCGTAAAAACTTAAGAGACTCTCAAATAGTCTACAATCCTCTATGCATTTTATACCTCGAATGGTAAAACTTAAAAATCTTAGTACTTTGTTTTAGTTGCTTTTCTAGTATACATAAAGAAAGAGGTATGATCTCATGGTCTGAGTATGAAACTGGAAATCAAAATGTCTTACGTAATGATTTGCCAACCATGCTATGGGAACTAACCAAATTGTACCAGTCTTCCCCCAGTACAATGGAGAGAATTTAATTTACACTGAACTGATCAAATCTATTCAGTTAACAAAGAATACATTAGACATTTGGCTGCTGGGAGTGAGTTTTAGAGAGCAGTAAAGCACATGTTTAGCTACATGCTAAAACCAATTGAAATGGCATTGCTAGTTACTGAGAAACTCATGACTTCAAAATTTTTACTACTGGACAACTTATCTAGTCTTGCTAGAGAATGGTATCAGGTAAAATAGAAACCAAAGGACATTAATAATTATAAGAAATAAGTATCCAATTCTCCCTAGGCAAACAGAACTTGCATAACTTAATTTATAAAAATTATGTATATAACTTGAAACATTATACTGAAGTAAAACACAGACTAGTGATAAAAAAGTTTATAAGACGGCCAAGGCCACTGACCAATCAAAAAAAAAAAATGCTAAAGGTAAGGAAAGTTTAATAGGGAGTTATAACTTACCAGCTTCTAAAATGACAGAAGACTTGACAGAAGTCTTGAGAAACAGAAGACTTTATATATCCTGCTCTGACAGTTTAATTGAATCAAGATATCTAAGATGCACAGACAGTAAAACCAGATAGAGTGCAAAAAGGAATCTGTAAACTATCAAAGAAAATATTACAATTGGCTCTACTTTAGCTTTTTAATTAATTAAAATTCTCCACTTGGGTGTTTTTATGCATTTTAAAGTAAAAACTAACATTCAAAAAGACACTTCTAAGTTTTTCCAGGCCCCAAGTGACATGAACTTTTTCTTTAAATCAACAGTCTAGCATTTATAGTCAAATAAATGGAGAAGGAAAAGTTAGCAGATGAACACCTAAGCGATATTAAATATATACTGTCCTCACATATTCAAATCTGTGTTTGCTATGCTTTTTACAGAAATATCTTCACATAAGTTTTCAAAGCAAAATTAATCATGCTTTCTAGTAGGCCATTATGAAAAAACACTACCATAAGAGATAAAAACCAAAACATTAAAAAACAGGGATTGCAAAACAGAGTCTAACTAGAAGACTATTATTTTAACATGAGTTCTTCCCTATCTCTCATGCTTGCCATGCAATTATCACAATTAACTCCACATTCCTTGGAAAAAGTTATCAATACCTAAATGTCAAAAAATTATCAATTCTTAATGTATGAATTGCCTTCTCCTTCTTGCAAGAGGATGGCTACTTCTGGCACTTTTTGCAGAAAAATTTTAACGTTGTTTGCCAAATTAATCCTTTTATCTTCCGTCGGCATCTGCAGTCAACTACTGCTTTGGTCAAAGAATCCGGTGTTTTCTTTTAATTTTATTTTAAGAGAGGAGGCACAAACTCAGAGAAAAAAGGTGTAAGTCCTGCAGTTTCAAATTCCTTTTGTAGCTCATCCAGCGTTGAATATTCTTTGACTTCAAACGTCTGAAACCTACATTGTAAAAGGGAAACTCATGAATATGCCTAGATTTGTCAGAATGTAATTATCGATTCCGTTACTTTTCTATCCACAACAGTACTAAATTATACCTTTTATGCTGTGACTGTACTTTTGTCTCACACAGTACACTAATCATTTTTTCTTTGCATTTCTTTCCGCTTGAGTCCACATCTACCTTAGAAGTTTTCTGAAGAATCAAGTACTCCTAAATGACAAAAAAGAACAAAATATTAAATGTCATCTAGTATCTTTGAAGTTTCGTAAAATGCAAAAATGTATACGAAAGATTTTTTTCAGAACATCGCAATCAAACTTTGAAAAAGTACACGACTGTTTCTATTCATCAGCTTAAAGTTAAGCGCAGTCTTAAGAAATCTAGAGAACATGAGTTTGAAAAGCAAAAACATTCTCCTCCAATATCACCACAAAAACCTGCCTAATGCAGTGGGAGTTCATAAGTACAGACAAGAAGTTCAAAGCCCAGGCGTGCGCTAGGAGCACCATGTGGTCTAAGTTAAGGAAAGAAACAGTTAGTAATGAGCTAGAAATATGTCTGTTATTAATTTCTCATCACAAATTTTCCGTTTTCTGGGGCATTTCGGAAATACAAGAGACTGAACCTAGGCATATTACATCAGGAAACACAAGGCATATAGGGGTATAATTACAGTGGGAAGCAAAGCGATACAAGCCACAGGTCTACAGGTATCACTGGTTTCTTTGTCATAGAATACCTTCTTTTTCTTAAATACAGAATAAAGTTGTTGGGCCTTCCTACTCCCCTAATGATCAATCTGCTTCCAAAATTGTTAATCTTAGAAAAACACACACAAAATATTCAGACACATAGGTTTCAGTGGTAAATCAATAGAACTAGTCAACATTCATTGTTCCTGCACCTTAATGTTGCTCCTGTCACCCTGAAGAAGAATCAATATTATCTTGCCCATGAACATCAGTCTTCCAGTCAGCCTTAGATCTGAAGCCCATTTTTCCAGTTTTGACGTATTTTGCCTTTGCTCTCATGTGATCTAAATGCAAAAGGAGCATCCAGATACCATCCTCTGTACTTGTTCCTTTTGACAAAGTAGTTTTTTCATTGCAAACTGTTGCTGATTGCTTAATGACATATTTAAGATGCTGCTGTATCCAAAGAATCAGGTCATGTACCATGGGTTCAGAAAGATGCTTCTTTGCTTGTTCAAGTAATTTATCTTTCACGTCCATGCATTGGGCCCTTGTAAGCTGGTCTGAGTTAACAGAAATATCTGGTAGAGTTAATGGATAATTGACTGGTAAATGAAATAACAGCTTTAAAAGTACATCTGTATCCAGCAGTTCTTTCACGCTGATTTGAATTCTAAATGTGATTCCATGCGTCTCTGGAAAGTATCAAAAAATAAACATTAATAGTTTGCTTCAAGTTGAAATACATATATATTATTGAGTCATGTTATTTTCTTTAACAATTCAATTTAAATGACTGCCATTCTATATAAAATAAGGGGTGTGGGGTTTTTTGCAGGGTGAGGGGGTTGCAACCAATGGCTCAAGCTATACTTGCAGGGAATCCTGAAATGAAACACTTCTATATCATACTGGAAGGAAAGTTATTAACACATTCTAAAAAGCTTTCACACCTTTTGGCTCTTTCAAAGTCTAGACAAGCCAGTAATAAAGAATTGTCTCTCTTAGAAACACGTAAGTCAGCTTCTACAGCTCCATAGCAGCAGCAAGGACAAGCAAAAATAGAGACTTTTCTGGATGGACTCAGCACTGCCCTAACTTTGCTCCTAGAGAAATCTGTAAGACTTCTAACATCAATACCAGCACAAGGCAAATAGACTTGTACTGAGTATTTTTTAAGAAAACCATTCAAAAGCAGTTTCACATTAAAGAGAGACTTGGAAAGAAAAAAGTCAGATTCTTTGTCCCCTACAACTTTCAGAGAAAATATGCTTAATTCTTTTCTGCCAACTTCTCTACATTTACAACAGTTGGATTGACATAATGAAAAAATCTCTGTTGTACAGCTGACCCTAGATACTACATACATACATATATATATTCACATATACTTATATAAATGTATGTGTATATATCTGCATATGTACTCAAAACCTGTTGTTGGTCTACTTTAGAATAGAATTATTTTCAGAGTGAAAAGGATACACACAGTCTGTAGCAGGAAGGGCAAAAGACGACATCCTCCTGACAAATCGCGTAATCAAAGATGCTGAATATGAAAGTTATGTACAGTAATTCCTGCAATTAAACCTTCTTGACTAAAACATGTTTCAAAACCTTCTTGACTAAAACATGTTTCACAGAAAAACAATACGAAACTTCATAAAGTGAAAAGCAGGGACAAAGACCTAACCTGCTTTTGCTCCTCTGCCATGAAGAAAGAGGATGATCTTCTTCAGATGTTCTCTGCTTCACCCCTTTGATGCATTCTAAACACTTCACCCCTTTTCTTTAAAAAATTGCTAAAATGTCAGGTTGATTCATTCTATGAGGGCAGGAGAAGCCAGATTTGAAAGGCAGATTAAAGCAGAGCTGAGTTTCAGAGGAGGTCTTTTGAAGTGACTTGCCTTCTTCTTCCCCTACCTTATCTTACCTTCCTTTACATGACAGCCAGTTGAATTATGTTTGATTAGTATTGCTGATGCCGTTTAACCAACCTCAGTGCTCTCTATGATTTTATATTTGAACCCTACTAAATAAGTGAAAGAACCTAAAAGTGACTTGGACAGAGAGAAGCACTTTAGAGAGCTTAGTCAAGGGCTTGTTTCCAATCTCCTTCCTGGGTCATACGAAGAACTCTCTAGGTCAGAGCAGTCACAAAATAAAATAAGCAAACCCTCCAAGCCCAATAATCAAACTCTAGCAAACTCTAGACTATAAAGAAGTCTCCAAACATCTACAAACCATCGCTACCTAAACAGAGTCAAATCCAGTGCTGAAAGTAGTGGATGCAAATCCAGTGAATTAAATGAAATTACACCCAACCATGCCCATACCTACAGGCACTATGTGTCAAAGCCTCGTTCCCTGCCCACAGGAGTTGGCCTCCAGTCTTCTAAGATCCTATGAAAGGTTCCAGACTATTTTTAAGGCAAGTTGATTCCTCAGAAACGCACCAGCCTTGGAAGAGACTCCAGTCTCCAAGTGTCCATCTGGCAGCATGTGGCCCTTGCTCACGGGCAGTAGCTACGCAGGAGGACCTCAAGCCTTCCCATTCCAATCTCTGTCTTCTGCTGCCCTGACAAACGTTTCTCACTGGGCACCAGCAACAATAGCTCCTCTGCCATTACGCTAGGCTTGGTACACATAACCACACACACAAGAAGAAAAGCCTGCACTGCACCTCCTGGGACCCCCAGCACCCTCTTGGCCGCCATGGAGGGTCTCTGCACACACCTGAGCATCGCACCGCACACAGCCAGTGCCTGCTGCCCCACCTCCTGCCAGCTGCCCCTTACACAGGGCAGCCCCACCAGGTATGCGGCCAGCTGAAAGCAAGCTGCATGTGGCTGAACGGTATTAACATTATTATATTCCTGTCTGTGAATCACTTTATTTTAAATTATGTTGCCAAGGAATTTTAAAATGCACAGCCTATAAATGAGTTGAAGAATACTACTCTATTGCCAGCTTAATTACAGTGACAGAAAAACATGTTACCTTTCTGATAATCCTCCCAGGATTTTTCCACTAGCTTGTCATAACAGATCTCACCAACTCAGAAGTAACTGAGGGATAAACAGACAGGCCAACCTTGCCCCTTCGGCAAGGGCGTCCTGCTGCAGTGATCATATTCTTAAGCCTGCAACAATCACACCTTTCCCCGTGACGATGAACTAATCCGAAGGAAGCAGCGCAGCCTCGCATCCCAAGGTGTATCAGCCTGAGCCATCGCGAAAAGCCCAGCCGTGCTCATTTACATCTGCTTCAGACTAGCTTTTAAAAAGGAGAATTGGTTCAAAACATTTGTGGGGCTACAGCATCTGAAGTTTATTTAAACATTCCAGCGTCCATTTTCTGCACCAGCGCTGCAGACGGCTGGCAGAACAAAGAGCAAACCACCGTCGCCCGGCGTAACGAGGCTCTAAAGAAATATTTCCTTTGTTTGCACACGCTACAAGGTCTGAGTTGTCTTCACAGCAAAATGGTGATTATTTCTGAAATAAAAGGTTGGGTATGACTGTTCTGCTGGCATTTAATGTGCTAATAAGACTAAACTCAATACATTTTAACTAATTTTCCCCCACCGCTGCGTGCTTATCAGTATATTTAGCTTTAGCATACTTCAGATTTTTTCTCATGTTCCATGTCAACCAAACAGATATCCCCCTCCTCTTCTACCCAAAGGCATTTTATGCAATACATGCAGTCTATTTTTAAATTCAGAAAATGGCACCTACTAACGTACAAGCTCAGAATATATAAATACATTTTTATAGCAAGCTTGGTGAGCAAACCAGAAGAGAACAGATTAACGAGTAAATTATGGATTTCTATCTGTAATGCTAATCTTCGTAAATAGATATGTAAGGTAAAAAAATATGCTGTAATTAGTTTATTTAAATTCATCAACACATTGGTTTTGATAAAAACATATTTTACATTCTGAATACTTCATTGTTAAATTCCAGAAAGCCAAACTTTTTAGCATACCAAGAGACCTGCAAAAGCATTTTCTTACATTCCTCAAAACCATAAATCCCCAACAGCCTCCTTTTTGATCCCTCGGATCTACACACAAATTAATGTATTAGAGATAGCATAACATAACAGTCTTACTGGAATTTACTTCTGTGCACCATTTGTCAATGACAATTTATATGGTTTGAAGAGACAAAGCAAACGTAAGCTAATGAATACAGCAAAAGTTAATTATATACAAACTAAAGGATTCTGTAGCTCCAATGTAAAAAAAGTAAATTCCCAAAGTAAGAAAACTACCATTAATCATTGTTGTAAATAATCTTTTCAATTCCAGCAGAAAACGATGGAAATCAACCAGATATGTATGATCCTAACGTATCATGAACACAGCCTGGCTAAAGGCCCTGCAAGGTCACATAACATCAATATAAATATAACAGCCTGTTCCCGTTATGCACTTGTGGCACTTCACTTTATGTTCCAGGAAGGTTTCTAAGCTTTTTACATCCTGGTAACTTATAAACACAAAATCATTTTTCTGTATATGAAGCACTGAGAAGGATGTGTATCTATTTCTCTAACAGATTTGGAAGAACAGACGTGCATACGCAATGTTCGGATACATTCACATTTTTTAAAATAAACATCTGTTAAGCCTGGATACTGTATTTTCAAACTATGCCTGAAATAACATTCCTGAACTTTTTGACTTTAAGAAAATAAAACTCAGTTGAAATATTTCATCAATCATATTTTAAGAATACAACTCTAAATACCAATCGAAAAATAAAATGGCAGTGTTTACCTGCCTACACTGGAGCAAGAGGTGTGTCATGCAGATCTAGACACAAAATAATTCTGCTTTTAGATTACCCCAGTTAATTGTGCTCCACACAGACACTAATATCTTCATCCCTCTGAGGCTGTCTACACACAAAGTCCTCTTTTCAAATAACCATGCGAATTTCAAATAACCACTGTGCGAATCGATTTCAACAACTATTTTCAAATAAAAGTTTGAGGTTTATTCAATTAATTTCTTAGTAACTTTTTAGTTAAAGTCACTCAAGAGCAGCCACATGTAATTTCACACCAACACCAAAGCAGCACAGTTATTTTCACAGAACCACAGAATGACTGAGGTTGGCAGGGACCTCTGGAGGTCATCTTGTCCAATCTCCCCACTCAAGCAGGGCTACCTACAGCAGGCTGCCCAGGGCAACGTCCAGATGGCTTCTGAGTATCTCCAAGGATGGAGACTCCACAACCTCTCTGGGCAACCTGTTCCAGTGCTTGGTCACCCCCACAGTAAAAAAGCATTTCCTTATCAATCCCAGTTCTTTTTGGCTGAATATATATGCAGACAAAATCTGACAGCAGGCTACTGGATCTATTCTTAACAGCATTCTCCAGGACTTTATTGCAGTCCAACGAGCAGGAAGCTGCTTGCTGTCCATCGCTTCACTGGGGAGCTGGGCAGCACACTGCAATAGCTCCCAGGACACCAGGGAACAGTAAGTGATACAGAATATATGTATATTCTGACTGTGTGTGTGTGTGTGTGTGTGTGTATATATCTCTCCAACAAATATACAGGACAGTTGTCACATCTGTAGTAGGCACTAAGCAAAATTTACTTACGCTCTGGATCTGAACAGGCATGCAACACTTGCATATCCCACCTGACACTTTCTTTAAGCATGATAGTAACTGCTGTTGTACACTGGAACTACTGAGATTTATTCTCCCTTGCAGAAGGGGCATCTTTACAGTATCTTTACAACACTGTCACGGCACAGACCGATAAAAGTCATCTCTTAAAATTATGTTCTGATCGGTGGCCACCATGGCTGGTGCAGAAAACATGGAGTAAAGGTGTCTACACTTACTGTGTTCCTAGCCTACAGCATCCAGCAGCTGATGGGAGCAGGCACTACAAATCTCCTCATCTTCCCACCAGCAGCAAACATGAAAGATTAGCTTTCGTACCCTGTAAAACCTACAGCCATACACACATTGCTGAAGCTGGAGAATATTCAACACATCATAAGGCCCAGATTATTACCAGAAAGACAGAGATGACCCAAGGCTTCTCATGCATAACAACAGCTACACCCCTATTAAATGTTACAGGATAAATACCTGGTCTTGTTACACGTGTGAGATGCAACTGCTTATTTACTGAACAGCAGCCTGCCCATTACCACTGCTGCGCTTCGCCTACTGCAAGTTTCTGCACGTACTGCAAACAGCTGGAATTAAGAAGGTCGCTAACTATAAACGAGTAGGACTCGCTAGGATTTGTCCCCTACAAAGAGGCCAGCAGCAAAGACACACGGCAGGACA